AAAAAAAAAAAAAAAATACCTTTGAAAAAAGATGTGGGAACAAAAAAAAAAAAAAAAACCACAATAAGAAGTCCACAAATTTTCTCAATTTTCATAATATTAAGATAGGAAAAATTGTGGTTTTAAGGGTAAAGGTATGGATTCTTATGGATTCCCTCTAAGGGAAAACGTATATATTTTTCTCTCAGTGCATCCAGAGTATTCTCTATAAACATACAGGGTTGTTGTTAAACAACGTTGGCATTGATATTGTATCCAATTAATTCACACATAGCATTGGGAGGGAGAATTAATACATTCCCTCTTATTCTTTCTTCTGAAATGAGATGCTTTGTCATATTAATTTTCTATTGTGCTATAACCAAATTCCTTCCTTAATTTTTTTAAATAGTTCTAGACCTGCTTCTAGTGAGTGACAGTAGCAAAAAGCATTTTGCAGGCTAGCCCCTGCCTTTACCTAACAATTTGGAGAGTCTTAAATTTTTTGTTCGTATTTTTCTTTCTCCATGAATGCCTTCACCACAAAGATGCTACCTTGGTGCTACCCACAGGAAGAGCTTCCCACTACAGCTGACACTGATGCTCCTCAGCTCCTAGTTTCTGGACTCCTGCAGTTCCCCACAGCAACAATTCCCTCCTCTGTAGGACTTAAAATTTAAAAGCAGTGTGTAACCTTTCTCACCAGTGAGAACCTTTTCAGACCTGTGAGCCTGACAGACACACAGAAACAACCTCTGCTCGGCTTTCCCAGAGGCTGCAAATGGGTCACTCATCCTCTCATTGGTTTCTCACCTCCCATGACAGCTGAAAGCAGGGCTTGGCATCACATGGGTGAGATAAAACTCTTATAGGGCAGGAACAAGTCACAGGCCTGATGCAGCATGGACATGTCAAGGGTGGTCAGGGTTCATTTGGACATGCAGCCCAGCATAGTTTCATCAGACAAGAGATTTGCAGCAAGCCCTCTCTTTGTTTCACAGTATCCTGCCTAGGCCAAAGGTCCTTTGAGGTTTATCTAAATTACAGTGGTTCCTTCTTATTTGCCCATTATGAGCATGCCCCTGTTGGAGTCAAAACAGATTAATGATGAGGCATGACTCTTTCCTGGAGAAATTTTGCTCTTTAGATACTATAATTTTTCTATTTTTTTTTCCTACTTTATATTCTCTCTTCAACCAGCTTATAAAACAGAAGTGTATATCTGGGTATAGAGAGTGTGTGCTTTCTCAAATTATCGCAATCCTGTTTTCGACTCTGGATACAACTGTTACCTTCCACTTCTCCAGCAAAATAGCTGTTTTTAATTAAGGAAGGCATATTTTTGCTGCAGATCAGCTATTTCATACTAAGCTCCTTCAAAACTTTCCAATATACCATCTGGAGATGATGATTTGCTGCTTTTTAAATTATCGATTTGTTCCAGCTCTTCCTTCTGACACATCTTGATTACCAGAAAGGAGCAAGTCCCAGTAGGTATCACCCTGATATTCTCTGTGCTGAAGAGCACTGCAAACAAACCATTTAGATTCTCAGCAATGTCCCTATCTTCTTTAATTTCTGCCTTTAATTTTCAGTGATCCAGTTTCTGAACTAGCAGTTAATTATTACAACTCTTCTGACTGACACACCTGAAGCACTCTTATTTTATAATTTTAGCATGTTGCAGTGCACCATGCTTTCTTTTTATTTTCCTTTCATCTAGTCTTTACACTAATTAATAAACCAATGTATCAGAAAACTAAGGTTAGATTTTCAGATTTTGAAGGGTTCCCTGACACTCAGTTGTACTGACTTCCTCTTTGTTTGCCCAGTATTACTGTTGTTGGCAACATACATGCCCTCCAGACTCTATTATTGTTCTTAAGTGGAATTCATGGCATCTTCCTCTACTCTTCCCTCAGGAGCTTTTGTGACAAATCCTCTCAACACAACCAAAACCCAGATGCTCTGAAATTTCAGACACTTTTTTGTACTTATTTCCCACTAAGCTACAGGACTGTATTACATTAATAGGTCTGCTAGCAGCTACAGATGCAATCTTGTCTTGAATTCCTTCCTGCATATTGATTAAGAACCAAAAATCAGGATATCAGGATATCAGGATGTAGACACCTAAATAAGGTGGTATTTTAATCTGAAATTTCATACTGACTTAAGGCTCTGGCCCAAGCTGGGAAAACTCACCTTTTTTAATACTTTCCAAAGGCAGTAATTGGACAGTACCTGGCAAACCTGGGGTATGTAATCCATACCAGTAGCAACATGGAGTTGGAAACTGCTTGTCAACAATAGTGGAGTGATTTGAGTACTTCCAGACATGGAAAGGGTGCATGGCAGGGATGTCAGGCCATCATTGCCCATCTCAAATGAGGCACTTGGCCTCCTAGCAGGGAGCTAGAGGGGAAGAGGGCACACCCACTTGTAGGGAGAGGATTTCTGTCTCAAAAAGAACTGCAAAGCTTCTGGGTTGGAAGGAGGCCTGACACTATAGTTTGGTGGTTTGGGGTCTCAGAGCAGAGAGTCAGTGTGCTGATCCTAAGCACTTCATCTTATCCATGAGCTCAGTGCAAAATGGTCCCTAAAACAAAGTGTGTAACTTACTGCCTGGTGCCTGCTGAGACTCGTCTTCAATATGTAGGAAGAGCTTATCTTTCTGAGACAGAGATTTAGGGACGATGTTAAAGTCATGGCCTGAGCCCTGAGCCATCTCCTGCTCAGAGCACTCACTCCTCAGGCCCAAGGAACATCCAGCTCCTGCCTGAAAACGTGACAGTTGTTTGGCAGAGTGAGTTGAACTGTACAAGTCCATGCGAAAAGCAAAGAAATTTGAACAGGCTTGCTTTGGGCTGGTTATACTCCTTTCTGATTGATGTTCTTTAGTATTTTCTCCTGGTTTCCTTCTACTGACACACCTAAATATGGCTGGACAGCAGATTGCTTCCCTACCCAGCTCATGCCAAATCATTACTCATGCAGCAAAAGCCCCCACAAAATGTCAGCTGAGCTGTCATTCATTGTTAAGAAAAAAAAAAAAATAAAAAAAGAAAACTTAGAATCCTACCACTCGCTATTGAATTGCTGTTAATGATTTAAAATGAGAGGACTAAAATGCAGCACAACAGACAATCCTCAAGTCCTTACAGTACTGGCCTCCCCAGTGGCTCTGCTCCAAAGGAGGTTAGGACATCCTTTCTCTGATGGCTCTTCCCTTGCCAGCCACCTCACCTCCACCACTGGCCATGTTCACTTCAGCCACAGAGAAATGGGTGCAACAAACTCAAAATGGCTCACTCACAGCTCAGTGGTGGCTGCAATTAGGGAGGCTTTTTAACCCACTCAGATACCTGCAGGAGGTTTGCTTTTGGCCTCTCTGCCTGCAGGTAGAAAGATCTTTTGGTTATACCCATTCCGATAAAAAAGATCTCAGGCTGAAGAATTGGAGAATTCGATTTATATCACATATAAAACCCTGGTCGCTGCCTGGTTACACATGCAGACAGAGACAGAAGCCTTCCTGCAACTGGGGAAAGGCCTTTGATGTTCCCTTCCATTAAATATTCCTCAAGTACCCAGTCTGGTGACTTCACGTTGCTACAGCTACTCCCAGGGCATCTGCTCATAACCTGTTCACCTGAACATAACCTCTTCCACTTCCTGCTAATCTTTTCTGGCCAGGTTTGAAGCCTCTGAACCAAATGAGATGAGAGGATGCTAATAAAACAGCACTTCGACAGAAAACATCATCATAACCCCCTGACCTCTCGGACCGAAAGAACCCCAGATCCCCCTTGGCCACCTCCCATCTTCCCACCCTGAACCGCCCGCGGACCTTCGCCCTGCAGGGCCCGCAGGTGCCCCGTGTGCCGGCACACGCCGGGGCTGCCGGGGGCTGCGCGCCCCTCGCCCCGCGCCCGGCCGCGGAGCCGCCCCGGCGCTTACCTGGGCCAGGCACGTGTGAGCGGGACAGCCCCGAGGATGGCGCAGGAACCCGGCGGGGAACCCGGCGGGGAACCCGGCGGGGAACCCGGCGGAGAACCCGGCGGGGAAGGCGGCGGTCCCCGAGGAGCCCCGGAGCGGGGCGCTGCTCCCCACGGCAGCAGGAGGCTGCGGGCGCCCGGCTGGGGCACAGCGCTGCTCAGGCGGTGGCTCCGGGGCGGGCAGCGAGCTGTGGAGCTGCTCCCCGCCTCGGCGTTAGCAGCGCGCCAGCCGCGCGGTCCCGGCGAACAGCATCGCCTTCAAGCGCTGCCGTCATCTCCGCCGGGGCCGCGGGCCCGGCCGGCTGGGAGCGGCATCGCCGTACGCCCGCTGAACGCCGGCACCTGCTTCTCCCAAAAGAAAACGAGGACCCCAAAGAGTAAAATGCAACACAGATGGAAAACAGGGAGGACCGCATTGAAAGATGCTTCTGGGTCAGGGCTGTGCCGCTTCCCCGGTCCAACAGCACCATCTCCTGGGTGGCCTCGGCCGCTCGCCCGGCTGCCGGCAGCTCACCCCAGAGCATCTCCCCGGGAAGACCCTCCACAGCTTTCCTCTGCCATCAACGCGTTTAGTTTACCTGCTTTCCTTTCAGACGCTATCAATATTCTTGCAATTGTTTCCTTCCGCATCCTATTGCTCGTCTTTCATAAGTATCACATATGGATGAGTAAATAAATACGGAAGAATACTAGAATTTTTATATTTTTTTTAATTCAGCAGTACATCACATTCTTTGAATACCAGCCCTAAATATACTCTTTTCCTGAGCTGTGAAAGTTTAAATATATATCCAGCCTTTATGGAGCACATCCTCTTTGAAGTAATCAAAAAGTGCTTCTCAGAGAATCTTTTCTTCAGGAAAAAAAGTTACTTGAAGAGCTGTTTAAAATTTAGACAAGTGAAATTATGGAAAAGAGTAGAAGTGGTAGATTTCATACTATTACTATTCACTGGGGAAATCCTGACTGACAAGCAATATTTCAAAAATACTCTTTGTAGTGTATATTTGAAAGCTTTAAAATGCTTGTTTAGATACACCCTGTAAAAGCATGTGATTTTCACTCGTAGATAATAGGTTTAAGACTAAAAGCTCCAAAATTTTATTCTCTCTGTAGTATTATCATACAAGTAAAAAGTAACTTTTGTATTTCAGTTTTCATTAGTCTACAAAGTGAAGATTTGTTTCACTGTTTTGAGGCTAAATTGTATGAAAAATCCTTCATGCTTTGAAGGCAGTGCTTATATAAGCCAAAAAAAATTTAAGTCAATGATTTTTTTTTTTAATTCAATACTCCAAAGGCCCTTTTAACTTAATTTCTCTTAAATGCCTAGCAATATTTTTCAGAAGCTCACCTTTAAAAGATTCTAAGTAGTTCCCTCATGCAAGTTTTAAGTTAGGAGGGACAGTATGTAACTATAAATACAGGCATACATGCCTGCACCTGTACAGAACTGTCTTGTGGCTTTTTATATAAAGGTGCTGCAACAATGAAAAGAAAAAAGATTCATTTTCCCTGTTGTTTGCTAAATTAACATCTTTTAGTGGCAAAGTTCTTTCAAAATTCATATTGAACTTGGCCTTTGGATTCTTCTTAGTAATTATAAACCATCACCACCTGCATCTTAAAGGGTTTTGTTTCTTCTTGAAAGGGGAGTATAAGCCAGCAGCCTGCTCTTCTGCCAGCATTTCTATGGCCCAATTAAGATGTGATCCTCCAAACTGGGAAGATACAAATGCTTATTGATTATATACAGCACTGTGCATTCATCCCAGTTACACTCTATGACTACCATGGATTTTATGGAGTACCATGATCTTTCGAACTAAAACCCTTTTCTCCTGACATACTCCCTTACTTCCAGAAAAACAAGGCATGACAAGAAGCTGGATGATTGGAAAAAAATAGTTGAAGATAAAACCTGAATCGACTTAGCCATTTAGCCATTTTCTGTATAACTAAAACCTGCTTATCCTGGGAGATTCCAGGAAAGGCCTCAAGTAGTTAAATCAGTGAGGCCATGATCAGGTCACATCAGAGACAGCACTGCTTTGACAGAGCTATTAAATGAAAAAAGCAGCATCCCAGGGAAAAAGCCAAAACCAAATAATGAACCACAGCCCTTTACAGAGCAGTGTGTTCATCCCAACTCTTTCAGCCACAAAAGCAAGCTTGACCTACCACCCAGCACCATCAACAATCCAAACCCTTTCCACACTCTTTACCTTTCCTTATTGTCTTTCCACCTTTGCTCACAGATTTCTTAACTTACAGATGACATGTATCTTGTAACTAATGAGTGTTTTTTTCTTCTATAGTCCTGTAATATGGATATTGAACAAGCCTGTGTAAGAAGATCTGGTTTCTGCAGAAGGGACATGCAAATCAGATTAGACAGGGATTTATTGATCAGGCTGCCAGCTCTGCTTTTTAATATTGCCCATCTTAGATGCAGGCACTGCCAGGGTCTTACTGGGATTCTTGGTGACAGCTCAGGAGAGATTTTATTTGGTACAATTCTTCGATTTCATGTTCTGAAGCTTGGTTGTTTTCCGTGCACTTTGTTAGTATTTACAGACTCCCAGAAAACTCCTGCCAAAGATTTCTAGCCTACTTTTTAAAGAGAACCAGAGAACTCAGTGAGAACATGAAAATAAGCCTATGTTTGTTAGACCTAAAATAAAGGCACTTGAGTATTTCAGGGCATTTAGATGGTATAAAGTTTTGGGTTTTTTTTCAGAGCAGACAAAGAATGAAGAATATTGACCATGTCTAAACATTTGGTAATCAAATTAAGGCAAGCCATTAGGGCTGAGAAACACAGCTGCTGTGTAACCTGTTAATATGCCCTGAGCTGTTGATAGGAAAACAACTTTTGTTGTAATTGATTTTAATGCTCCTGATACAAAATTAGCAGCACAATAGCAAGTGTTTACAACCTGCTTCCTTCTGCTCCTCACCAGGACCAGTTCAAGAAGAGCAAAGAAACCTTATATCCCACTTTGATGAAGGTTTAAGACAGTAGGTCAGTTTTGGAATATGAACAATCTCATTTCCCTAAATCAAAGCACCTTGTTTTATATCAAAGAGGTATGAAATGCTAGCAAATAGAAAATATTATCTTAATGTATGATCTGGTGGATAGGTTGGTCCACTCAGTTCAGCCTTTTAGCCCAGCAGCAACACCAAGGGCAGAATAAAATCTAAGTAATTACAGTCATGGTTTCCAGCTTGGCAAACACTCATACTACAACCCTATAATAGAATAACAAGCCCACATAAGTTTACATGCAATCACAAGTCCCTCACTGTAAGCTCTCAGCAGGGCAATTCAACCAAGATGGATCCAGCAGCATCTCACCAGAGGAGGAGGCAGCTGGAATTCCTGCCTGGCTCAACACACAAGAACACAAAGAGCAAGAATAGGACTGGCAGCTCCTCACACCCAACATTGATCCATAGAAGCCCTGCAGCTGGCAATGCTCCTGCACAGCCCGGCCACCTGCCCTATCCTTACCACAGCAGACCCAGCTCGAGACCAGGCAGTTTTGCATTTCTCTTCACCAAAGATTGCAAGGTCAGGTCCCCATTTTTGCTCTTGGCTGTCCTCAGCAACTTCATTCGGCCTGCCCAAGGCACGCTGTTGACCACTGTTACCTCTTTGGTCTTCACTGAATGGCAGAGGAGCCCAGGAAGAACAAACAGCTGTAGCAGCTCCCCCACCCCCTCCCTCACCTCCTGTGACAAGCTGCTCCTCCTGGGGAGAAAACAAGTCACCTTTCCTTCACAGAACCTGTCACATCCCCCTGACCAAGGATTCCTCATGGATCCTTCCAGCTGGCACCAGGCACCAGTATTAGCTCAGCACACTCACTGGTAGTCACCTTATTCTCCAGTATGGGGTGACTACCAGTGCCCATGCCTGAGAGCAAGAGAAAAGCAGGTGCAAATCTCTCCTCAAAGAGGCATGGGTTTTTTCCTCAAAAAAATCAGTTTATCTGCAGCATCCCTTTGGGATTGGAAGCAGATGTCCCCTTTTGCTTCTAGTGTGAGGGACAGAAGATGAGAAGAGTGCATAATACTGCCCATCTTCTGAAACTATTCCCTAGAACTAGTTTCTGGGGGGAAGTATTCTCAGTCAACAGCAAAATAAAGCTCTTTGTGAGCATCTGAAATTTACAATTTAAGATGGTCTTTTTTTTTATTGCAGCTGGTTTAACATGATCATTTCCTTAAATGTAGAACAACTGTGCATGCACACATTGGCTGGAAATGTACAGCTTGCACAGGAATGCAGGCAGAAATCCCAATTTCATTCCCCACTGTGGCTTTGTCATGAAAGCACTATTGCTTTTACTTGCTCAATAACATGTTCCAGTCAGGTAGATTGATAGAAACACTACAATGTATGTTATGCAAAGGTTTAATCAAGTAATTAAAATCCAAAGAGGGGAAGAAAGTAGAAAAAGTAGAAAAACTTCCCTGGTTTTTAAAAGCAGGAACTCCTGCTGGGATAAAAGTTTTGCTGCATAAAGTCTACCTGACAATGCTGAAGTTCCCTTTATGTTAAATGGCTGGCAAATATTACTGAAAAATATTCAGCTAGTGCAGAAAACTAGACAGCTATGAAACAGCAAATTCGGGGGATTCTTTTTTTAATAATTTATTTAGTAGTCAGACTAAGAGTTAACTATTGAAGCAGAAAATAATTAAATTTTCTTCATTACCTTTTTGTTTACTGGGTACATTCATTTCAATAGGTCAATGCAAATAACCAAAGACTTCTGGCATTTACTTTCTAAATATTGTTTTACATTCAGAATGGCAAAAACTACTTGTGATTAGCCATAAGAAAGTTCATTTAATCTGCATTCAAATGCTCAGAACAAACCTTCATTGACCTTAAGGTCTGCGTGATGTGATGTGGCATATGAACAGAAAAAATCTTGCACTCACACCTCCTTGCCTTACAGGCACAAGTGACTGCCCCAAGTGGAACTCCTTCCTACACAGTGGTCATACGGTGACCTCCACAGACCTGCTGTGGTGACCAAGTGAACACTCACAGCACACACACTGTACCTAATCCTGCTGGCCCTGACTGCATTACCACTATACAGTAAGCTTACTGTTAGCAGTTTGGCAAATGTCAGCAGAATGTTCTAGTATAGTTTCCCCATTGCTTGCTCAAGCGGGCAGGAGAGATTTAGAATCAGAACTTGCATCAAATCTCTCCTCTACAGGTTCTAGTCCTGTTCTTGTCTTTCACTGATCATTTACAATTTCTTCTTTCTCCAGAACACATTTTATATCCCATGCAGTGGAAAACATCTTAGGCTTCAAACCAAAAGCAGTATCAGTTTCATTAGATAT